CTCCTCCCTCTCCTCTCACTCCTCCTCCTCCTCTCCTCCTCCTCCTCCTCCCTCACCACCTCCTCATCATCCTTTTCTTCTCCTCCTCCTCCTCCTCCCCCTCCTCCGTCTCCTCCTCCTCCTCCGGCAGCGGGGCCCCGGAGACCCCGAGTCCGGGGGGGTCTCCGGTGCGCTCGGCGCGCGGCGCGGGCCCTTTCCCGCAGGCCGCCGCCCGCCGCGCCCCCCCAGTGCGCGGCCGCGAACGCGGCGGAAAGGTTGGGCGCCGCCTCGACACCTCCCGGCCGGGCGCCAGACCGCCCATGAGGTCTGGGATCCCGAGGATTGGCCCCCGGCCGGATAGCCGCCCTGCCCCTCCAGCTCGGGCAGCAGTTCGGCGCCTGCCTCGCCAGCTCGAGGCGCCCGCAGGCTGCCGCGTCGCGGCGGCCAGCGGCCAGCAGGGGAGCGCGAGGCGCCCGAAGTCGCTCAGCGCCGCCAGCTCGAGGTGGCCCAGCGCGTTGAGGCGCGCGCAGCCAGTCGCCGCCGCCCAGATCCGGCGCCGCCGCCAGGCCCCCCGCCGCCGCAGCCCGGCCAGCTCCCGCCAGCGCCCAGCGCCCGCCTCCGCCAGCAGCCTGGCCGCCCTGCGCAGCGCCCCCCGCGGCCGCCGGCCGCCCGCGCCGCCCGCGCCGCCGCTGCCCGGCTGCCTGCCCCGCCTAGCGAGTCGTCGCCGTGCTCGGCGCCCGCGCCGCAGGCCCGCGGGCGCGCGCCTAGGCAGAGCGCGGGCGGCGCGCCGCCGGCTCGCCGCCGCCGGCCCCGCGGCGCGCCGCCCCGCGCGCAGCGAAGCTAGCGGGGCGAAGCGCCTCGGCGTTGCCCCGCTGAAGGGTCGCCGCGAGGCCCCGGCGCGCCGCCGCGAGCGCCTCTCCGTCTTCGCGGGCCCAGGCGCGCAAGAGCGCCTGCGCCTCCTTTCCGTCGCGCCCGAAGACCTCCAGCGCGAAAGCCGTCAGCGCCGGGCCCGGGTAGCGCGCGTGCTTGCGCTCCTCCGAGGCAGGGGCAGCGGCGCCGCCCCTGGCGGCGCGGCCCCGGCCCGCCGGCGCGCGCGCGCGCCGAGAGAGGCGTCGGCAACCGCCACGTCGACGTAGGCAACGCCGATCGTGGGGTCTGAGAAGGAGCGACCTCCACGATGCCGTCGGGGCGCGCGCGGCCCCGAGCGGGCGCGAATTGCTCCGTGGCCACGCCTGTCGCGCCGCGGGCGCCGAGCCAGCGGGCGAGCCAATCCCGGACGCCGTCGCGGCGCTGGATCGCGCCGCCGCCGACGCGGCAACCCAGGCAGTGCCCCGCCGTCAGGTCGGCCCCGCAGCGCGCGCCGCCCCCCCTGCGCAGGTGGCGCCGGCGGTCGCTGGCAGGGGCAGCTGGAGGCTCCGCGCGAGGGCTGGGAGAAAGCGCGCGTCCGCCAGCACGTGGCCCTCCGCTGACGGCGGCCGAAGCCAGCTCCCCGCCCCCTTCCCGCTGGCCGAGCGTAGCTGCGCTGCCCGGTCTGGTGGCAAGGGGCTCAGGAGCCGCTGCTGGCGCGCGTGCTGCTCCAGCGCCGGAAGGGCGCGCTGTGCTTTCGCCTGTGGCTCTGCGGCGGCGCACAGCAAGGTCGCGCCGCGCTCATGGAGAGCGTGGCCCGCGCCCTCGGCCGCCCCCTGCGCCGCCGGGCAGGCGCGCTGGAAAGCCTCGAGACTCGAGTCCGAGCTCTCTGCAGACACCCGCTAGGCACGCCTGCCGAGCCTCTGCGTAGGCGGGCAAGCGGCGGCGCGAGGCCCTGCGGCCCGAGCCCGCCCCAGCGTTGGGCAGGAGGGCCAGGTCGCGCGCGTCGTCTGGCAGAGCCTGGTGCCCTGTGAGCGGCCGCAGGATCTCGCGCGCGTGGCCGAGAACCGCCGCGTCGTACACCTGGCACCATGCCTCGTCCAGCAAGCGCGCTCGCGCGCGGTGCAAGGCCGCGCCGTTGCGAAGGTGCGGAGCAGGACAAACTCGTCCCGGGCGCGCAACCCGTGCCCTCGGAGCCGACGGGGGGCCGCGAGGTAGGCGTCGAAGTGGTCTCGGGCCGCCTGCGGGGCGGCCGTCGGCGAGAAGCTAGGCCCCGCGCGTAGTGGCCCCGCAGTGCCACGTCTGCGCCAGTCGCGAGAGCTCCGGCAGGCGGCCAGCGACCTCCCGCAGCAGGGTGCACCAACAGAGCTCGTTGAACGCGTTGGCACCGCGGCGCCAGGGTCCTGCTCCAGCGCGGACGCCACGACGCGGTGCATCAGCTCGACGCCGTTCTTGCGCTGGCAGCGACCCACCGCTGCAGCGATGGCCCCCTTGTGAGCCGCCGTGGCCGCCAGCGTCTCACCGCAGGCCAGCGGTCGCGCGCCGCCTCCCGTCTTCAGCAGCGGCAGCAGCCGCCCGTCGAGGACGGCCTGCACGGCCAGCTCCGGCACCGGGCCCTCCAGGATCAGGACGAGCACCTTCGCGAGCGCCTGCCCCCCCCTCGCCGCGCCCGCGCAGAGCCGCCCAATGCTCGAAGCGGGCGCCCGAGAGGCCTGGGCCCGAGTGGCGCGGGTACTTCCCGAGGCTGCCCGCTGCCTCATCCGCCGTGTCGGCCTCCCAAGGCTCGGTGGGCCGCGCTGCGGGCGGCGGCGGCGGGCGGTCGGCGGACGCCGCCAGCGGGAAGAGGGCGGCCAGGTCTCGAGCTACCCGCGAGCCCTTGCGCCAGCTTGCCGGGCCCCGCGGCCGCCGCGGCAGCGCGGCCGACCTCTCCGAGCATGATAGCTCATCATGCACCCGCCGGGTCACTTCTTTGGGTTTCTGCTGGCTTGCGCGGTCCTCGGCCGGTTCCCCGGGTCGCGCCGTCGCGGCCCACAGCGCCGTCCAATCGCCGGCCCAAGCCTGACGGGGGCGGCGCGGCAGCACCTTGAGGCCGAGAGCTGCTCATCACGGCCGCTGGCGGGGGGCACCGCGAAGAGCAGCCGCGGCAGCAAGAGCAGCCGGGCCCGCGCCGCCTCGCTCGCGGGGTCCGCCGCGACTGCGCGCAGCGCCGCGGCGAGCACGTCCGCGACCGCCGTGGCGAAGGTCGGGGGCGTCGCTGTCGATCCACGCGGGCACCAGCTCCCGCGCGGGCACCGGCTCCCGCAGGGCGCCGTGCAATTCGAAGCCCGCCCACCACTCCACCAACCCAGGGAGCTCGCCCGCCTCTGCCGCCAGCACGTGCCGCGGGTGGAGGTCGTTGGATGGCGCGTCGCCCGCCTCTGGCCGGGCCGCCCCTGGCGCCAGCGTCGCGCAGGCGAGTAATTATCTCAACGCGGCCCTCCTCGGGTAGCGCCGCCAAGCCCTACGCGGACCCGTGTGGCACACCGCAGGCGATGCATGCCCGGTGGCGGAAATACCTGTCAGGATTCGCCCTGATCGCCAGGCGGACCGCCCCCGGCGCGAAGCCTTCGCAGCACACGCAGCAGGCCGCCACGTGCTTCCGGGGGCCTGTCGACTGGCCACTTGGCCAAGTGCGCACTCGTGGAGGGCGCTGGGTAGCGGCGGCAGGCGGATCAGCGGATTCGGCGGCGACAGCGGCGCCTGCGGCGCTCTCCAAGGCAGCAGCGCCGCGGGGTGCGCCGCCAAGGGGGGCTGCTCCGGGAGGCGCGGCAGCAACCATTCCCTCCGCGTCCTCGTCGTCCCCCACCGCCATCCCGACGTCGACATCGACCTACATTGCGCAGGAGTTGGGGAAGGAAGGCGGGAGTGTGGGGAAGTGGAAGGGCGGGTGCATGAGGAGGGAAGCAGCTGGGCAACGGTTGCGTGCAATTTGAGCCCTCATCCTTCTCCTCCTCCTCCTCCTCCTCCTCCTCCTCCTCCTCCTCTTCCTGCTCCTCCTCTTCCTCCTCCTCCTCCTCCTCCTCCTCATCCTCCTCCTCCTCCTCCTCCTCCTCCTCCTCCTCCTCCAAGCAGCCTGGGGAAGAGTCGACATCGTCGGCGGACGGAGATTGCTCGCATCGAAAGCTGTCCAAGCCACCTCGGTCCGGCGCCGTGATGCAGCACGGCCCCGTGCAGAGGAGGCACTGGAGTGGAAATCAGGAAAGAAAACGAACGCGCTCAGGGAGCCAGATGAGACCAAGAAGAGCTGTCACTGGTCCGACTGAGGATTGTCCGGCACGGTGCATCACAAATACTCAATTGAACGAGGCGTTGGTTATCGCACAGGAAAGCGCCCACCGTATGATACCAGACAACTGCGAGAACATGATCTTTCGGAGGTAGGTCCGCGCCGAATTCTTGGATCGGCGCTTGGCCCTCCCCCCCCCACCCCTTCCCCAGCGCGTGGAGCACGCATGCAGCGGCTCAAAATGCACCGCAAGGGGTACGGGGCGCGTGCTGACCATTATCCCAAGGCGAATCCAGCCGTCCCGACTAAGGTCCCCGAGGATGCCCCAAAAAGGCACGAGCGAGGGAAGGGCATCGGTATCGGTACGGTCTCTCGTGCGACCCTCCCGACCCCACATTGGATTTAATATGTGCCCCGACCCATCCCAGCGCAATTTGTTTGTCCTGGAATTGACGGCCCCAGGGCTCGAGAACGGACTCCAGACGCCGAAACCTGCGAAGAAGCTGCATCGGATGTATGTCGTTCGCTGTTTTCGGCAATTACGGGACAACATGTTGTTGTTTTTATTGCGTAATAGGTTTCGCACATTCTGAAGACCATCCCGAGTAAGTAACTACGCCTTCTGGCCGCCAAGATCCCCAACATGACCCTTAACGACACCCAGCGAGCCCAAAGAGCCCCCGGGAGACCTGAAAATGCTCCACGAGGCCGCCTCCAAGGCCGCCAAGAGGGCCTCCAGAAGCCCCGCAACAGACACGGAGGCAGAGGAGGAAGAGTCAGCACCAACTACACGCAAGCAGCAAGTTGTGAAGTGGCGAACAACACGCGCACACCCCACACACAACATCGGAAGCCGCACGTGCCCTTCTCTGGCGGTCGGCGGGACTCTGCTCTGGGGCACGGGCGAGTCCTGGGCCCGCAGGGACTCCTGCAGCTCGGCCTTGAGTCGCCGCAGCCGCTCCACCTCCAGAGCCCAGGGCAGGACTAGTTATAATCGGATCGGCAAGGCGGATCGGATCGGATCGGAATGACGAGGAGAAAACAAACGAACCCAACATTGCTCATTGCAGATTGACCGAGGACACGAGAATCGGCCAAAGGTCTTGGGGCATGGTTTGCTTTCGTCGCTGCTCCCTGGGCAGAACACGCCACCCCGAGAACTCCCTCCCCGAAATCGCAAGCAGCCCGCATCCTGCTCCGGCGGTCGCATTTTCGGGGCTGTGCGGCCGTCTCCAATGAGTGACGGATGCTGCACCCAGTCGGGCCGCGTCGGCACGTAGCCGAGATCGAACCGGACAGGCTGCGCCAGGATGCACAGCGACGCCGCGCAGGCAGCGCGCCACACCGGAGCTCTGGAGCCCCGGAATTCGGTCGCATCGAGCCGGCCAGAGTCGCTATCCTTACCAGCCTGGAACATATCCCTATCCCTATGCTGGGCACCTCCTCATCACGATGCCAATCTTAGGGATAGGGATACGTTCGAGGCTGGTAATATCCCACGACACCCGCCGACGTGATTTTTCCGTGATCCGCGGCCCCACAGGTCCCGACCGCTCCCCTGGACCTACAGCGCAGGCCAGTCCACAAGAAATCCTCCACAAGAAACCTAACCCTGAGACCCAATGTATTTTTGACGGTCCCCAGGGCCCGATAAAATGCCCCTGGTGTGAAGATGGGTGTGTTTTGCCCGTATCTGTGCAGCTATAAGCTCAGTAGATAAGCGGTTGGAGACAAGAGATAGCATGATAGATGTCGTGGCCATTTCTCTCAATGGTTTCAGGGGATCCCCTCTTGAGCTATCAGCGATAACACGTTATCAGATGTTTGTCATTGCGGGGATTCCCTGATTTCATCATCGGATTATGCAAGGTCTTCGACCTCATCTATATTGCTCGATTCCACGGAGCTTACGTGCGGAAGGAGAATACGACTGGTCAATCTCCATATCATTGACACTGGCAGCGAAGCCGTCAACGAAGGACGGCCTATGCTGAATTGGTTCGTCTATTTCATTGTTGTTTCTAAGACCTGGTCTTTGCGGACAGGCAAGTACTATTGTTGGGGTGAGAGTTTATCCTGTGATCGTGTGCCTGACGACTACGAGTTGCCTGATTTCGACTCTACGCGTCTACGCAGCAGTACGATTTCCTCGAGAGCAGTTCAGATTTCCTCAAGAAGAGTTTAGCTTGCATGAAGAGCAGTTCAGATTTCACGATGGCTAACAATCGAGATCCAAGGTCACACGTATGGTTGGATAAAGAGGGTATTCCTTGTTTTGATGGAGATGCAGCAGCAGCGGAATAGTGGGATGAGAGAGTACGGTTAGGAATCTTGGGCATGGAGAATCTAGACAAGAAGAAGGGCTTGGCCTCAGCGGGAGAGCGTGGACGCTATGCCACAAGGACGAGAAGATCAGCGTCACGGCACTGGCCGAGCAATTTCACAAAGGGAGCACTCCGGCGGAGACAGAAGCAGCTGTTGGCCAACGACTCGACATCCTCATCAAGTGTGTATGCTCACATGTGGAGAAAGTGGCACCGCTGCAGAAGCACAAAGCGTTACTGGATTACTTTCGACGTGGACACCGGAAGCCAGGAGAGCAGATAAAGGACTTCATCCAACGGCGGACGGACGCATACGAGAAGCGAGAGTCCTCACAAACGGCCAAACGCAGGTGTCGGAGGCTCTCAGAACGTTTTTCTTACTAGACATGCGTGGTATTACGGAGGTTCATCACAAGACGTTCCTGGGCCAGGCTCAGAATGAGTACAACTGGGATGCGATATGCGACATCCTCGAGATTGCCCCGGTCAGGGCAGAAAGTATTCAGGCAGTGCCGAGTGGCATTCAAGGACGAGATTGCACGCTCAATTTCAAGAGGTTGCCGAACTCCGACGCCCCTATGCTCATGAGTGTCGACCAGATGGACGCCCTGGACACGGTCACTATAGTGTGAAACACAATCAAGTGATCCTCAGAACGATTTCAGACACGCCAGTGAAGATCACACTTTCTAAGAAGAATCACCTGGTGGTCAATATCACGGACTTTCCGCAGACGCCGACGCATCGGGAAACACCTACCATCAGTTTGAAGACGCTGGACGTCTGGGCAGCAGAAGAGGATGAATCGAACCAGACGCAAAGCAACAATATCATGCAGGCAAACATCGGCAGCATGACGAAGTCCCAGAATAATCAAAAAGATACATGGATCGCCGACCATGCACGAGAGATGAAATCTACGTGGAGTGTTCTACGTGTTGATCGACATCGTCTGTATATTCCTGGGGCAGTGGTCAAACATATTTACGGCGGTCAATGTACTATTATTCGTCTGGCGACGGGGTTAGGTATGATAACCGGAAAGTGCAAGGATCTACGCACTACCAGCGATGATCTACTACTACCCAATGTGCAGGCAGATACGATGAGGGAACTTGAGTCTGAAGACCCATATCTCACGATGTGACGCGTGGTCAGCAATCAACAAGTTCTTTCCGCCGAAGGAGAGACGACGACGCCAAGCCAAGGCATTCGCGCATGTTCAGCTTGCGCTCGCATTTGTCAGGCATCGACTGGAACACGGGCGTCATGTACTACTGGGGAACCCTCTGTGTTCACAAGTGTGGAACCTCATCAAGGATGAGCTGCCACCTGGATTGGTTTGGGTTCGATGTGATCAATGTGCGTTTGACTTGCGAGATGATCGGGGGGACCTACTTCAAAAACCAACGAGACTCGTGACGTCAGCTAGGGCGCTGGCATATGCACTTGAAGTTCGGTATTCACGGGATCACGGGCATGATCAACTTCAAGGACGCGGTGGCAAGCCACGTGCATTTTCAAAAACGATGGGCAACAGACATGGCTGAGCGGATTCTCGAAGGTGCCAAGCAACAATATGAGTTCGATAAGCTACCCGGAAGCGGAACTATCCTGGGGGTTCCAGACGCCGCTGGCCCTGCCACAGGTTTCACATCAAGCTCAGGAATCATCATGGGCGCGAATGCGGAGACCTACGCCGATTGGCATCGAGCACCAGCAGCACTCAAGGCAGCGATCAAGAAGTTGCATATTCAGTCTTCCAATGCTCTACGCGGTGAAGAGCTTGCCCGACACATTCGGACAGGTGGGGGTTCACCAGCAGCGATCTCAGCGGCCAAGCTTTTCAAGTGTGAGCTATGTGATTCTCAACAGTGACCGCCAGCGCATCCTATTGCAAGTTTACCGAAGTGGATGCGATTTAATCAGTGTTTGGGCATGGACATTGCGTATGTACCAGACTTGGGTGGGAATATGCACGCTTTCCTGGTTGTGCTTGACCTTGCTACCGACTTCACAACACTCCAGTGGATGATCAGCGGTGGAGACCGGAAGCCAAGTCCAACGTCAACACATGCGAAGATCGCTATCACGGAGGGCTGGCAACGCAATCAGCTCACCCCGGAGAGGATGCACATTGACCAGAACGCAGCTTTTCGCCTAGAGTTTGACAGTCGTGCCAGGCTCTTGGAGTGCCACGTATTCCAGATGCTCCTGAAGAGCATCACCAACATGGGCGAGATGAACGCAATGTCCGTTTCTTCAAGGAGATGGCCACTGAGGTTTTTCGCGAGCTGGAGGTCGGAGATGACGAGAGCGCCCGAGCTGCCGGATACCAGATTGCCCAGACGATAAACCGACTCGCCAACAAGAAAGGATTCAGCCCAACGCAGTGAGTACTTGGCGAGAACCCCTCAAGACCGGCATCTCTTGGAGATATCAACACCGATCCCGTGTTTGCTGGACAAGTTACTCAAGGATCGCTCATGTGGCACCGATTGCGACTACAGGAAGCTCGCGAGATCGCCTTCCATCAGTCAGCTAACAGTTTGGCCCTGCGACGAGCTGCACTCTCAAAGAAACGACCTCAGCCTGGACCATTCGAGCGAGGTGAGCGGGTTCACTACTGGCGCACAGGCGGAGGCAAACGCGACCTACATCGGAAGTTGCAAGGGCCAGCTCGAGTGATTGGCAAGGATCAGTTTGGATATTGGTGGATTCACAATGGTATCCCGATTTTGGCTGGACCGAATATCCTGAGGAGATCAGCGATCAACGAGATTGAGGATCGAACTCCTGGAGATCAGCGCGAGCAGCAAGGAGTTCCCCATGCTCAGCGAGGTTTCGTTGATCTTCGGAACACGACGTCTGCACCGTTACGAGGGCCCTCGTGTCCAGGGCGACAACCGCAGCCTCCACGGGAACCTCAGTCTCAACCACCAGCAGACCCCGACCAACCTGAACAGGGCCCTCCGAGCATGGAGGGGGCACCAGATCAAGAACCTGACGATGCAGGTGACCAACCGCCTACGCAACGACGTCGTGCACAAGCTGAGTGGCCAGAAGGATCATGGAGCATACCAAACACACGGGCGATGATCATTGGAGCGCAGCCTCTTGGTCCATATGGCGCAGTTCTGGCGAGGAGGAATACACGATGTATCATGACACCATTACCAATAGAAGATGGCATTCCTCGAGACAGGTTCCCCCGGCGACGTATCTTTAACTGCGACGCGAAGCCCTGCGTGAAGATATTTCTCGGAACTGCGTAGAAGTACCCTCTGAGGTTCCTCTGGCACGTGATATGGATATGGAGGAACTTGTGGTGGAGTATACGTATCGGACTGACAGTGGTCCTTCGAATGGCCAAGGGCAGAACCCAGATTTTGTTCGACACGATCGTTCCCCCGAAGTACTGAACCCCAAAGACCACCTCAATCGTTTGGACCGGACAATCCGGCACCACCTCCAACATCAGCGACAAGACCCAGCGCGCCGTCTGGATCGAGTGACAACAGACCTCAGCCTCGTGCAGTACCAAAAGAACAAGACGCACGAAAACGACAACGAACTCGCCAGCAAGCGAATCGCGAACATGGGGAGGCAGATCGCGATGGACGATCGAGACTTACAAGGA